GAGATTAATTGCTCAGCTGTTTCTATTAGCTGCAGTGCACAATTTCTTACCACTTACGGCTTTGCCTTCATGGAATGCTTTCTGAATTTTGTTGTTTGCATATAGGTTATCTGTTAATGAGACATCAATTTAAGTAAGCCATTTTGACTTTTCTGTGGTCTAGACTTGCTCAGGTCTTACTTTTGTTAAACTGCAATAATTGCACAGATGCTGGCGCATATCTTAGAATCTGAAAATTTATGCTGGGATTGCTAAGTAAGGCTTAAGTAATTCCTACTTCTGAAATGTAACTTGCAGCTTGTGTGTCCTTAGAAATGCAGGTTTTCTCTTCTAACAAATCCAGACAAATAAATGCTCTTTGTCTAATAAAAAATACAATTGATTTCCATTTTTATGGTTAAAGGAAGATTGTTTTTTGTATTTAAAGTATGTAAATTTTCATTTAAATTGGGTCAAAACCTCAGGCTATTGACATCTTACTAATGCAAACGTTAGTGTTCCAAAATTAGTAGATCCTTGAGGATGTAGCTATATGATCATAAGAAATAATTTGTATTCTCCTTAAGCAATTTGAAATACAAAAGCTAATACAGCTTTATTTTAAAGCATCATATGAAGAAGCTCAGTATCTCATTAACAATTTACTGTATGGATGTAGAAATTAAAATTAAGTGAAATTGTAAAAAAATATTAATAATGAACAACTTAATATATTCTAAGCAGTACGGTAGGCTTAGGGTTGAAAAATTTAACATTAGAATCATAAGAGTTTCAGACAAGCATTTCTGAAGTGCAATTCACAACAGATTGTCATCAGATAACAAAATAAGGACGGTCTGGTGCCTTGAAGCGCTAGGGGTTACAGGATTTCTGAAAGTTTTTCCTTTTCACTGTGTACTACTTATTTTAACACTTAATGTTGAGAGGAACATAACAATAGACAACTATTCCTTTTTTATTTCCTGCTTTACCTCTTGAGTTCTATGCTATTTTGTATTAATGATGTTTGGATAGTTCAATACTGTATAGGCAAGAATTTGTCTTTGAAACTTCAGTGAGTTCTGCTTTGTGTTCCACGGAATGTTCAGACGGTACAGGGTAACGATAGCTTGAAGTTCCTCCTCTAGAGTCCTTACGTTACTCGTTGTTGTGGATGTATTAACTGTAGCCCTCTTCTCTAATGTGAACAGCCTTTCCATTTTCCCATGTTTCTTCAATAATGCCAGGACATTAGTTCTGTGCAGTTGTAGGGGAAACAGTGCCACCCTTTGGATTATCAATGTTGTCCTCTTGTTGCATAGGCTTGGTCCTGCAATGTGTGCTGATCCCCTTTACACGGTTATCATGGCTTAATTCTGATGGTATTTTCTCAATACCTATACTTTCCCTGAAGTTTTATTATGCTGCTACTCTCTTATTAAAATTTCCAGGGGTGTTTTTTTTTATTTGTTTGGGGTTTTTGATTGGTTGGTTGGGGTTTTTTTCTTTTTTTTTTTCTTTTCTGCCCTTAATGTGATGAATAAAGTTTGACTGCAATTTGACTGCAACAGAGCAGTCAAAGCTCTTCTGGGGAATCTTGCTAGCAGTGGAGAGCAAAATATTTTTTAGGACCGATTTAAGGATATGCAGGAACTATTCCATGTTTTTCCCCCTCTTTAATCAGACTGGTGCTTATTTTTAACTTGATACTAAGTGCTTAGTGTAGCTCCAAGCCTATGACTTCACATTTCTCAATCTTAAACAAGCAGTGAGTTGTTATAAATTAAAAGATTCTTTCCTTCCAGACAGAGAGAAGTTATAATACACGTGTAGCAATTGCAATGTTGTGCCAAATGCATTGGAATAATAAACAGAGCAAGCAAACTTCTCCCCATGGCCCAGTTAACAAAAAAAGGCAGTAATTCACATACATACAGGCTTTTTTCATCCCTGAGATTCTAGTTGCTCTAAGTTTGGGGTATCAGTCTGTCTATGTTCATCCCTCTCTTCAAGAATAATCAAGTCCCCAAAATAGGTGTTATCTCTTCTGACAATCTAGCAAAGATTCTGAATCTAAACCGAAACTCAGTTACTGACTCCCTGAATAATCAGGTTGAATTCAGCTTTTTTAGATGGGATTACAGAAAAAAAAAAAAATCATTTGAGACTCTACCAAATGTGTTTATATACTATGGAAGGGTAATAATTTTCTTTTTTTTCAAGTTTAACATAGCTCTAACCTGATTGGTTCAGGCAATGGTTTTTCCACATATTTGATTTGCTTTTTTATTGGTTGAGTTGTTTGTTTGTGGTATTTTTGGTTTTTTTTTTTTTAAAGGACATACCTGTATTTAATAGTGGGTTTGATGGTGCTAATAGCATATAAATGATTCCATAGAATATAGGCTAAACTATCAGTACTAATACTTGGCTTTAAATGATATAAGATTGAATACCTGTGTTTAAAACTGATTTGGGTGAAATGAAAATTTTCATCAAAAATGTAAGCATTATATTCCCAGGACCCTCAGCACCTTGGTTACTCTGTTTTAAAAAATAAAAATAATATAAAGACTTCCCTTGAAATGTAATGATAATAAATAATTATAGAGCTAGAAAACTGAGCAGATTTGATTCAGATTCAACCTGTGATTGTATATGGCTCAGAATCCTGCAAGGAGTGGGGCAGGATGTGCACAATCAATTTGATTCCTAGTAACTTAATTCAGAGAAAAACGGGCTTTGGGATCACTGCTAGTCATAATTTGGGGTATATTGACAGGTGAAAATCTAAAAGTTCTATTCACCACATTACTTTCTTTATGAGATGGTGAGATTCCTAGCAGTTAATATGGATTTAATAGCTTATTTCACTTTGCAAAACAGGTACACTTCTGATCAATAACGTAGTTTAATGAAAGAAGATTCAACCTCTAGATGTTAACATTATATTAGACTTGGGTAGTAAAAATGTTATTTGAAGAGTTTCATGCTCCAGTCCTTGATTTTGACTGACAGATCTCACTGATTTGAGTGATAATGCATCAGATAAGACAACAGGTACTTGTATTCAGGCAAAATAATCTCAGACATTCAGAAAGCAGAAAGTTATGGTCAGCAACATCTATAAGGAATGAAAATTAATTTAAACTGAGTTGAATAGAATTTTTTTAACAAGTTGTAGTGATTACATAATATTAAGAAATTAATTGGTGAGTTTCTTGTATTGGAAAATATGTGCATGTTTGATTTTGGCCCTGCAGAGCTCTGGAGTTATATATAGCTCTGGCTATATAATTATACCTTGCTTCAGATACTGCTATTACAGCACTGAGTGAAAGCCAAGTAGAGAAACTTCTACATTGTTGTTTCAGTAAGTCTTCTTAGAATTAACACATTGCATGTTCCCTTGCATTGCTTGCACTATGACTGTCAGGCTCCTTCCTAATACGGCAGCTTCAGAAAAAGATCTGAAGCCTGTATTGAAGAAAGAAATGTTTGTTTCAGTGCTCATCTGTTGCTTGAACAGTCGAGATTGTCAACAAAAGTAGCAATAGTGGTGGTAGTATGTATTAGTTATGGTATTCATACAGATTAATAAATCCACTCAGTCAGAACTGGAATGACACCACTAGCTTATTTCACCCATGCAGTTGTTTAGTGTCTTAAATTTTATCCACTTCTGACCTAGGAAGTTGTATTTTAACTGGCAGTTTGAGGATCTCTGTGTCCCCTTAGTGCCCTGGTTTACCCAATCCTGAGTGATCAATTCTCTGAGTTTATTTTAAGGGATGTTACTTCTCAGCAGCTACTTGAGACGTGCCTGCCAGAAGGCTAAGAGACATTTTGTTTTGATTCTGTAGACCAGCAGATCAGATGAGTTACAGGAGACATAATTTTCCATCTGTTTCCCATCCTCAGTGCAGCAGACAAGAATGATTTCTGATTTCTTCCAGAAGAATTGCATTCTAAGATACAAAAAATAGCTTATTGGGGTCATGTTTTCAGATTCCAAATTTTACCCAGTGGATGGCATTTTTCAAGAGACAGAAACCTAGAGTAAGGATATCAGAATTCTAAATTGTATTGGGTACACACACTGTTGTGTACTTCATCATTCTTCAAGCCAAAATTTGAGTGCAAAAATTTCAGTTGTGCTGTCCTGTGTAGATGCAGACCTACTCTGAATAGGATGTGAAACTAAATGTTCCCATGATGTCGGAGAATCTTTGGGAGCCAGTAGAACAGACAATTGCATTGGCTTTATATTAAGAAAAAAGAAATTAGAGACAGAGATGTGATTAATCCAGCTTCTGCTGCGCTAGCCAGAAAAGCAAGTTCTACCTTGCTAATAAGGGCTGGCTGCTAGACCTAAGAAAATGATTTAATTCAAAAACTTCAACAGATTTTAAGGGCGGGGTGGACATTGAGACTACAAGGTGCCTTGTAGTCATTGTATCAGAACATGCTGCATCCAGCTATTGTTTTAACCTCTTTGAAAGTTAACTATAGTCTCAGTGGACAGGATTGCAGAGTAAATAAATATTTTTACATAGCCTTACACTGATACTGTGGATTTCATGAGCATGTATATAAATGGAAATTCAGTCTAATCTGTCATCACTCTTGGTTTACCTACCAGTGAGCAGAAACTTACTGCAGTCCTGCAGGATAGGTCTGATAAAGCTATGGTGTGAATTGAATGCCATGCAGTAGGATAGCTTGCCATTTGAAATTAAAGAGGGTAGTTTAGCAGAGGTTAGGATCTAGGAATTAATTGTATGTTGGGTTTCCCTGAGCTGGGATTCAACTTGTTTATGTGGTTTTTTGAAATGCAAGAAAACATTCTATAATATAGAGCATTTGAAATTCAAGTAGGAGTAGCTTTCTAAAGAAAATGACAGCTGAAATAAAAAAAAAAAATAGTTTATGATTTATTTTCCTTGTCTTTTTTGTGTGTAAAAGAATAAATGTTTCACTTTTAACATTGTTAAATAATGACCCTTTCTTTTCTTTTGTAGGTTGTCTTAGTCTTCGCTCTTAGTATTGGTGCTCTTGTAATATACTTCATAGATTCGTCAAAGTGAGTATTCTAGTACATTTTCCTTTCCCTCCTTTCCTGCAGCAATTATACATCTTTAAATTGCTCCATTCATCTACGTCAAATCAGTGCTTGGTCTCATCGCCTGAGTGCGTAGAACTTTATAATAATGCATGGTCTACCAAAATAACTCAAGAATGGGAAAAAGATCTTATATGAACTAGATTGAACACAGTCGCATTGGATGTGTGGTGTGAACAGAGAGAAAAAGTACTTTTATGCGTTGAGATTATACATACTGTTGCAAAATTATAGCTTTTATGTTCATCGGGCATGTGTAGAATCTTTCAAATTCAAGACTAGGATAAGAAATGCAGGAGAAGAATATTTGCCAAAAAATTACAGTTTGCAGGAGGTAAAAAAAGCATCTCAGGAGACTGATAGGAACACTTCTGAAGAACTCTGAATTAATTAGACAGCATGAGCATTATATCTTGAATATCTGTTCAGACTTCCAACTCCTGGTTTTGATAGATTTCTCCCAAGATAAGGTGAGCCAGTAAAATTCTGCAAAGCATGTCAATATTTTTTTAGATTTACACCAACATTATCATACAGTGTTGTATTTTGGCCAGGCAAAAGAAAGTTTCATCCTGACCTTTTGAAGTATTTGGTGATTTGATACAAACCAGTGTAACTATGAATGTACTCTCTTTGATATCATTCATACTGCAGCGTTGTTTTCATATCAAGCTGTACACTGTCAGTGGTGTAACGGGCAAATTCGTAGCCTGACACAGAAGAAACCAATAAAAAGGGACTTAATAGAATATTTTTCTGTTGAATCCTATTATTTTGGGAGGATGATATTCTGAAGTGTCAATAGCATTTTAAAGCTGTAGGACTACATGTTTGCTGCTTATCTCCAACCTAGTTTTAGGCTTGCTGTTACTGCAATGGTTAAGATAGTAAGCTGGAGTCACTCCATGTGAGCCAGCCTAGCTGTCTAATGGCAGTGCTTAAAAAAACCAATCCTTATGTAACAGAAAATCAGACATTTCACTGTTGACATCTGTACGTACTGATATTTAGGTAGGTGTTAGCACCAGCAAAAGGCATTCTTGAATACATGGATGTCAGCTCTATATTGTGTGAGTTTCAAACCATACCTTTGTAGCCTAGATGTGTCAAGCAGAACACAAATGACTAAGGTAGAGATTTGCTTAGTGGAGAGGAGCAAAGTGGTGGGAAAACTCAAGTTCTAACTTGATCTCCCTTGAAGTGAGGACAATACTTTTTCGATCTTAACATTGTGATGAGTGTTCTCGTTAATTTTAGCAATTTTTTCTTGAATATTTCACCACTGAAGCACATAAGGTGGTGCTTTTCTGAAGGTCTTTTAAAAAAACTTTTTAAAGCACAATGTTAAAGCTTCTAGGTGCCCAACATGGCCAAGGCAAAAGTGTCAAATAGAATAAAACCTGTTTCCACTTGTGTTTCCATTTCAAACCAACAAAATACAACTATTTGTCAGGGCAATTGTCTTTTGTGAAACTAATGGATTACATAATGATTTTTAGGTACTGCATTCTTGAAGCCTTTGATTGTTTTCCTCAAGGAGAGCAAAACTGACAACATGGGAGATTTCTCTGGGTTGCTTAAGCTTTCTGTGGGACACCTAATCCATGTACTGCTACCAGCTTATTGGTTGCTCTGTCAATGAGGATAGAAAAGTGCTTTAACTGTAGGTTTCTCTGGGTTGTCAGCCAATGTTTAATTCCCAGCTGCAGTTTAAATTCAGCAACCTCAAATTAATTTACTCTACTTGCACCCTCTTCCTTTATTTTCTCCTCCTTCTCTCTTACCCTGCTTCCTACACAGGTCTTTGTTGTCTTTGTTTGTTATTCTAAGTACACATTAATAGTTTAATTCAGGTCAGAAACTCCCCAGATATAACCCTGAAGTGAAAAATTCTTCTTTATTCTGTATTAGCAGCTGACCTGACATCCATTTCAGAAATATAGAAACAAACATATCGAAATATTAGTCTATTTAAGATACCCACGTACATGATTAGTAAAAGTCATTCCTTTTAGAATTTGGTCAAACAGGAAATAATGAAGGTAGGATGAGAGGAAGGATTGTGATATCCTCAACAAAGCAACTGGAAAACCAGAGACTACGACTTGGCCAGGAACAGTGGAGACAAACAGGATCTAGTGCACAGATCAGACAGATAGTGGTATGTGCCGTTGCGTGCTTTCCTTCACAATGTGTTCTATAGCTGTTGTATTCTACCTCTGCCATGGACATTTGGCTGTCATTTGATTTTACGATCGAGCAACAAAAATCATGTCTTCAATCCAGAGCTGAAGAGTACTAGTGTAAGCATGTGTTCAAAACAAAATGGCATGATCCATTCATCCAAGACTTAATCTGGCAGTAGTTTTGCAGACACAATGGCAGATATGTCCACAAAAGAATCTTACATGACTTCATACATAAGGGGCATCAAAGGTGGGAATACCACCACCACTTTCTTGGACAACGAAGGAAGGGGAAAAGTGTAAAGACCACTGAGTTTTGTCAGGCAGGGATGCGTGTCATGATTAGTTTTAGTGGAAGGCACTGAGGAAGTCAATAAGGCTCTTACTGAAGATACTAGCCATTGCTCCCTCTGCTATGTTCATGGTATAGGGAAGGTGACTGGAGGCAAAATGAATGCCATCCGTACTGTGAGAGGAGTGTAAACTAAGAGCGTTTCCATGCTACCCAAGTCATCACTAACAGACACTCTCCCAGATCAGTACTGCATGAAATGGTGTGTCCAGGGCAATGCTATTTGGAAATACCTGAAGTCAGAAAATAGTTCAGCTTCATCAACGTAGTATGCTCCATACCAATTAGTCCTACATCTCAGCAGAGCCAGTTAAGCAGGTTTGTGTTGCTACACATTATGTCTGTACTAATTCTGGTTCTGGCACAAACTTAGCGATCTCTGCACTATATTCCATTACAAAATATGGGCACAGTTGTGATCCAATACATCTGCTTTAATCTGCATTGACTTTTCTTAGTAAAAAACAGTGCTTGCCTTTTAAGAAAGGCTCTAAACAAAATCGCAAAAATAATCGTTCTTGGTGGAAAGAATGAAGGTTATTCATTTTGAAAACTATGGGGATTATTCCAATACTCTTCATTAAGATTATTCTGTTGTTTATTCAATGCTTCTACGTTTTACAAGCCACCAGCTTGAATCGTTGTCTCCTAGTACCACAGGATGTATATACAATGTTTTGCTTTAAAGTGACTATGTACACTTTCTGTGATTTGTGGTAGCAACTAATGAAAGATTTAAGTCCTTAAACTGGGAATTTATTTAGCAGAGAAATTACTATCTTGGCATTCCCATCAATTAAATCCAGTCACATCCTGGTAGGAAATGTCTCATTTCTTACTAAAGACTAGACTCCTTCCTTCCTTTATTTGTAGAATCTCATTCATAAAATACTGTTTTCTTGGACAATAGTATTTTTCAATACTGGAAATAGCAGTTAAAAGTGAAACATTCGCCAAAGAGATATTATAAATATCACCCACATAATTATTTTAATCTTTGGGTTACAAATAACCAAATAATTACATTTTTATTTTCAGAGATTCCTCCACTTTAATGATAGTCTTCCATTTTTAGTTTGCATAGAAGCAGATCATTCAAGGAGAAAGTCATATCAGTTACTTAGAGTTTTGATTAGGAAAGTGATCTACTTCAGTACGGAATGGCATCATATATCCTAATGATTGTTCTTTTCCAATTCATGTTTCCTTTAAAATTGTTCATCATTTAATTCTTCAAGGTAAGGAAATAATGGAATTATCCTTCATTCTTAAGAGGAAAATCTGACTTGATGTGCAGTCTTTAGATGGTTCTCTAGAGTCAGCTGAATGTGCTGCAGTAGAATAGAGAGCCTGATGTCTGCCAATACTTTTTTGTTGTCCATGCTTATTTTATAAGTAGTTTTCACAACTTTCCTTCCTGTGTCCGCTTCTGTTTATTTTTCTGCATGTGAAAGGTGTTTTAACCAATACATGTAGAAGTACTTCTCTGAGTTTTATTTACAATAGCGATAAAGATGAATTGCCTATTTTCATTTCCATTTGTCATCCTGACCTCTGCATACCGTACTGAATTAGTGACTCAGAGTAGAAAATAACATTTGCTTGCCATGATCACCTTTAGGCATGGTCAGTAAAAGCACTAGTAGAGAACTCAATTTCCCACTAAACCAGTAACTCAGGACTCCTGTTTTCTATTTCTTCTAATAGAAGTAGCATGGAAACTGTTCAGAATGTGAATATCCTTTTCTACTCTGGTTTGGTTTTTTTTCCTCTGGGATGCAATACAATGTAATATGCAACCATATATATAAGCTATGCTTTTCAGGGACAGATTTTTTTTTTTTCCCCTTCCAAATTGCTTACTTTGTAGTGAACAGTTATTACTGTCCTCTCTCTTGAAGCTTACCTCACTTACTGGAGTCCCTTCACTAAGAACTGACATCCATGTAGACATACTAGAGCTGATCAATGGCAAGGTGAAAACATAAAAACTCTCAAAACTTGCTGTGTATGTTCCACTCACATGTGTTTTTCAGATTAATTTTTTGGAGTTGTTTGTATTTTCAGAGGCACCAGTGGAGTTATTCTTAAACAGCTATTTTTTTCCAATATTGTGTCACATATTGTACTTGATTAGAATTGTACATAAAAGTGCCATCTGGCAATGAGTGTGAAACAGCTGGATCTAAGAATAACAGTGGCACTGTGAATAGGAAGATTTATACAAATATACACACAGACATATAGGTTCATGCTGAGCCCTGAGCTTGTTTTGAACTGTTGCATTCTTAATCAGACAACTTTATTTCTTTTTATACATGGAAAATAAAGGAGTTAAACTTACAGACAACTGTATTTTTAAAAAAATTTTCTATTTATCTTTGTATGTCTGGGAAGATTTTAGAAGTACTTGCTCCTTTGCA